ACCCTGCCCGCCTGATCTCCTACTCAGGCATTGGGACTGGCTCCGGCAGCCCCCTCTCTCCGAAACCTTGGAGAGGCAGCATAGGGTCTTTGGTCAGCCTCAAGCACCCTGGAAGGCCCCCCTAAACACGCTTCTCCTCCACCCTCAAAGCCTCAGTGGAGGGGTCACCCCCACCTGGAAGCGTTCCGTGATTCCTCCCCCTCCTTCAATTCCGCAGAGCCCGGGCCCTTGTGCTTACTGCCGTCTAGGCACGTTGGAACCTCTTGAGTGTTTGCTGGCTAATTCCTTGGTTTCCCCCAATAGGAGTCTTGTTTTACTCCTCTCTGTGCCCACATGACCCAGTGCCACGCTTGGCACATGCGAGGTGCTCTGCGACTCTTGTTCAAAACACCGAATGGAAGGAACCGAGGCACTTACCATGTCCTGTCGCCTTATGACTTTCCCTCCCTAGACCGTGAGCTCCGAAGGGGAGATGCTTCTGCCTTCACCCCTGGACATCCGGCCTCAGCCCAGGCCTGGCACGTAGCAGGTGCTCCATGACGTTTGTCCCAGTGGAAGTGTGTCCATCCAGGTCCAAAGCAGGTGCTCAGAAACGTGTCAGAAGGAGGATGTGCTGGGAGAGAGGACAGATGTGCTGGGGAGTCCGTCCTGTCCCCTCCACACTGGGGGCAGGGCCCCGAGCTCCGGCCCTGCGATGGTCTGAATGTTTGTGGCCCCCAACCCACATGAGGGCAGCGCCCTTTTGAATGGGACTGGTGCCTACGGACTCCCCGCCCCTCCCACCTGCGAGGGCAGGAAGAACAGCCACCAGTGAAGCAGAAAGTGGGCTCTGACACCATTCCTGCCGCTGCCGTGATCTTGGATTCCCGCCTCCAGAACTGTGAGAAAGCGTGTTGTTGTTTACAAGCCGCTCAGCCGGTGGTATTTTGTCCTAGCAGCCCACCCGGACCTGGACAAGCCCAGAAGCTCCCTAAAGAAAGTTGAACAGATAGAATATCAGTTCCTAAACCAACAACAGGCATGCGCAAAAACATAACGACCATTTCCCAAGCCCCATCCTGAGCTGGGTGCTGCTGGGTGCTGGCTGTCCTCTGTCCTGCTCAGGTGATGTGCCCATTTCATGGATGAGGAGACCAGAGCTCAGGGATGAAGAGCAGCTGCTCCCAGAGCAGCCCAGGCCACCTGCCCGCCAGGCTGGAGCAGCAGCGCCCGGGTTCCCCTGGGCCTGTGGCAGCGCAGAGGGTGCCGGCCTGTCTCGGGAGCACCTCCCCGTGCCTCCTCTGCAGCCCAGAGGCCTGGGTCCTGCTCCTCACCCTCCTGAAGTGGGGCCCCTTCCGCTTCCATTCAGAAAACTTGGTTTCCAGGTGATTGTCAGGAACGGGAAGGGGAGCAGCTGCTGTGGGCATCCGGGGAAAAGATGCTGCGAGGCTGGCCCTCGGAGACAGTCCCCTGGCAGGCCACCCGCCTCCTTTGTCCCTGGCTAAGGAGACCGCTCTCCTCAGGACAGAGACCTGGCCAGTGGGTGCGGGACAGAACCTTTCACTAGGGAAGATGGAGAGGGAGGGAGGGGGAGGTGGAGACAGCAAAGGCGGAGGGCGAGGCAGGGAGAAGAAAAGCAGGGGGGCGGGGGGAGGGGAAAAGGACCGGTGTCTCTTGACCATATAGCTTGGGTTCCTTTTCAAGCTCCAAGTTCCTTTGAATGTGTTTATTTTCCAAAACTGAAGATCATATCCCTCTTCTGGGGGACTAGATGGGGAAAGAGCCAACATTTTTAGATGAATATAAACACACATGGTAACACACTCACACACACACACACACACACACACACTTACACACCTCAGTCTTGGGTTCAAATCCACTTCGTTTGCTCACTGAACATCTCTGAGCCTCAGTCTGACCATCTGTAAACTGGGGTAATAAGAAAGGTCACATTTACTGAGCCCCTGCCTTCAGCCAGGCACTGTCCTAGGAGCCACGTGAGTGTTGCTTCATTAATGCTCACCACCCCCCCACACCCCAGTTGTCGTCCCTAGAATCGGAAGACCTGCTGCTGGGAGACGGCAGAGACCCAGGAGCGGGCCCGGAATCTGCCTTGTGCCAGGAGAGCCAGGCTGCCAGCAGCTCCGGGGCCAGCTGTGTGTCTAGGGAGGATGCCCCTTTAGGCACAGGCTTCATCCTCGGCCTCCTGCTTCTCCACTCTGATCCCACCCTTTGCCCCTGACCCAGAGCTTCTAGAGCAGCCCTGGGTTGTGAAGTGGCATCATTTCATCCCCATTGTTCTGATGAGGATCCTGAAGCACAAAGCCTGGATCCCAGAGGGTTTAAAATGGCCCGAGAGAGCCTAGATGTAACCCCAGAGCCTGGCACACAGCAGCCTTCAGTAAATGGCAGCACCTTCACCACTGTCATCCCAGCCCTTGGTCTCCCCAGCTGGGGTTGCACCAGCTGTCCCAGGTCTCAGCAGGGGCAGGGGCTGGCTCAGTGCATCCTTCCCACCCAGGTGGCTACAGCCCAGCCCAGCGCCGGGGGAGGGAGGCGGCCGGCTGGACCAAAGAGGCCCTTGCCTGTGTGGTGCCACCATCGCTGTGCCCCCTCAATGTCCAGCCGAATTTCCCAGGTGCTGGGTCCGGTCCAGCTCTGGACAGCTGGCTGGGGAGGATTTACAGCCTCGAGCTACACTGATTACTGCTGTCTCTGGTGAATGCAGCCGCCGTATTTCCAAAGTGTCACGCATCCCTTTCGTGCCTGGCACCTCCTTCCACTTCACAGCGAGGGAAATGGAGTCCCGCAGAGTCAGGGATGTGCTTGCGCTCAGTGAGCGAGGAGTTGGCAGGGTTCGACCCTCTGGACCAACGAAGAGAAAAACTTTAAGATGAGAAGAGCAAAGTCCCTTTCCCTTCTCCACGTGAGGAGAAGGTGAGAGAACGCCCAGGGCCAGAGGGAGGAGGGGGAGAGGGGCTGCAGAGCGCAGAACCAGGGAGGCACCAGGAGGGGCCTGAGCCGCCTCCTCTCTTCCTTTCGACAGGAAGACTGCGTGGCTGAGCTGGCTGCACACTCCCAGAGGCTGGCACTCAGCTGCTGCGGCTGGTTTCCCGGGGCTGCTGTGACGAAGTACCTCAAGCGAGGTGACAAACGGGGACATGTATTAGTATTGTCTCAGCCCTGGGAGCCAGAAGCCGGAAATCAAAGTGTCAGCAGGCTGGCTCCTTGCGAGGCCGAGGCGTGAGTGGTCTGGCCTCAGGGGGTCCTGGACTCGTGGCTGCCCTCTAACTCCTCGCTAACTGACCTCGGTCTTCACATGTCTGCCCTCTGCATGTCCCTCTGTGTCCAACTCCCCCTTCTGGATTAGGGTGCCAGTCATTTGGGATTAAGGCCCGCCCTAATGACCTCATTTTAACTCAATTACCTCTGTAGAGACCCTGTTTCCAAACAAGGCCACATTCTAAGTGACTGGGAGTTTGGATGTCAAGATACCTTCCTGGGTCCGGCTCAGTGGTTGAGCGTTGACCTATGAACCAGGAGGTCATGGTTTGATTCTCATTCAGGGCACATGCCCAAGTTGCTGGCTTGATCCCTAGTAGGGGGTGTGCAGGAGGCAGCCAATCAATGATTCTCTCTCATCATTGATGTTTCTATCTCTCGCTCCCTCTCTCTTCCTCTCTGAAATCAATTTTTAAAATATTTTGTAAGAAAAGTAAAAGGTACAACTCAATCCCTGACGCACCCAGACCACATCTCCCAGGCTCCCTTGACGCTTAGTGACCCATGGAACATGCAGGAAATTGATAGAGGTTCCCAAGCTTGGCCCAGGAAGCCTCCCACCCAGTCCTCCACTCCTTCTCCCCCCCATCTTCCAACTGGACATGGAAGACCCTCAAGGCCCCCGTGGACACCTCCACAGCCCCCAGGGACTGTGAAACCACAGGACAGAGGAGCCTGGGTCCTGAGTGACCGCTCAGAGCAGGTTCCTGTAACCTGCGTTGGGCTTCATCGTGCTGAGCTGCCGAGATCTGGGAGCTGTTTGTCGCTGCAGTTAGCTCCCCTCACAAACACAGCTGGCAGGCACCCCGTGTCTGTTGGGGGATGGGGCTAGTCCGTCCAAGGAGAGGCTTCTGATGGTCCCCTCTTTGTAGATGCCATGGGGTGAATGGGGCTGCTTCTCTGGGCCCGTCTCCTCCCCTGGTCCCCTTTCCCCTGACAGTGTAGGAAGGGGCTCAGGGTCTGTGGGACATGGCTCCTGGGTCTGGAGAGCAGACCCTTCCTTCTTACCCACATGGCTCCCCCGATGGTCCCCCCTGGCTGCCCCACCTGGCAGCCTTCTCCTCCGGAGAGGCGGGGCCGGGGAGGGAGTGGTTCCGGCAGAGCCCACATCATCCCTTCGCAGAGTTAGAGGCTGCAGGAAGAGGAACCATGCCAACCCTCACACGCCTGGACGTCTGATGAGAAGGACGCGTCACGCTGGCTTCTCACCGTGCACTTTCACAAATCCGCTGTGACCAAAATGAGATTTGAAACCAACACCAGGCCGAGTCTAAAATGAGAGGGGTCATCAGACCGGCAGCTAACCGCCCACGGCAAGCGGCCTCGTCCTGGGAAGCTGTCCCAGCTGCTCCCCTCTCACAGCATCAGCATCTCAGCCCAGCCCGCCAACGGCCCCGGGGCCAGGGGTGTGGGCCACCACCACGGCTGCTTCAAGGTCACTGCAGAGCCTCCTCAGGGTCCCCCAGGGCAAGGAGCAACCAGCAGGCAGGGCGGTCGGGACCAGCAGCAGCCTGAGCCTCCTCCGGGAGCTTGACACTCGGACACTCTCAGACGGATCAGGTCACCCCCTCAGCTCTGCATAAAGGGAATGTGAGAGCCCACCCACTCCCTTCTCCTGAATCGTAGGAAACCAACACCAGACAGTCAGTGCTAGGCCTCCCCTGCCCATCAACCTGCACCATCGCCTGGGTGGTCTGAGTGTGGGCTCAGCGGCCATCCCGGCCCCCAGGCCTCACAGGTCCCACCAGGAGCCGGGCTGAAGCGGCCGAAGCCATCAGCATGGACCCTGCAGATGTCTCCTTCACCTCCCCAGGCTCACAGCCCAGAAGTTTCCACGCCATCTCTGGCCATTCATTCCTCGGACCTGTCTGACGTGTGGGCCTTAGGGGACGCGGGAGTCCCCTCGGTGGCTGTGTTCTGACCGCTCGACCCGCCCGGCAGGTGACATTTCCCTGAGGAGCCGATCCATCCCCTGCTTACCCCTCCCAAGGCCAGGTCACAACCAGCTCCTTCCCTCCCGAAAGCCCTGGTTCCTAACGCACTCGGCCACGCTCCGGTTTCTGGCTCATTTGCCAAACGGGATGGCAAACAAGCTGATGACGCTGCTCACACCTAATGGCTCAGAAGTCCAGTCCCCAGCGGCCCCGCGCTCTCAGGGGAGCCCCGCGGGTGTGTGCGCACAGGATTAATTCCAAGCGCGGCCATTTTCCGTAGGAAAGTGGACAAACACCTCTCCCCTAGGAACGCGGATGATCCGGGGGCTGTGGGGGGCCGGGAGGCCCATGCGTCCGGGAATGAGAGGCCGTGGGGCTTTGGCGGCACCGGCAGGCCGGGCTCTCAGTGGAGGTCAGCTCCAGGGCTCAGACCTTGAAATTCACGGCAGTCAACTGAGGACAAGGAGGGGTCCTTGTCATCAAGCCAGGCTGCCGGGTCCAGGACACAGTGACTGAACCCCTGAAGGTCAGTCTCCTTTCTCTGAGCATCGGGGAGTTGGAGCTCACTGACTTCCTTCGGGGGGTGGCCCTCACAGACCAGGTTGTGAAGATCATGCTCATGCAAACGCAGACCTAGGCTGGCCAGCGGGCCAGGTTCAAGGTGATGGCAGCCACTGGGGACGACAGCGTTCATGTCAGTGTGGGTGTCACGTGGCCCGAGGAGGTAGCACTGCCGCCTGGTGGACTTCACCCTGGCCATGCTCTCCATCTCCTGGCACAGCGGGACCCCAGAAAGCCGGCTCCGCACGCGGCCACTGTGCTGCCCGGCGTTGTCTCGGCCCCTGGCCCAGGAGGCCGCTGCGGACCACAGGCCAGGGCCCTCTCTGCCTGTAGCCACTTCAGCGTCACGTCCAAGGGCCACAACTCTGGAAAGAGACGTTGTCCAAGTCTCCCACCAGGAATTCACTGCCCTCCACCAGAGTATCCAGGGGTGGCCACTTTATGGTGCTTTTGCACAAGAAAACTTGGTGAGTCCAGCAGGTGTGGCTCAATGATTGAGCATCGGCCTATGACCCTGGAGGTCAGGGTTTGATTCCAAGTCAAGGCTCTTGCCCAGGTTGCAGGCTCAATCCCCAGTGTAGGGTGTGCAGGAGGCAGCTGATCAATGATTCCCTCATCATTGATGTTTCTCTCTCTCTCCCTCACCCTTCCTTTTTGAAATCAATAAAAATTACGTTTTTTACAAAAAGAAAAGGAAATTCAGTGAATTCAACCTGAAAGCAAACCAACCAACAAAACCTCCGGACAGGTACTGAGGAGCCAGCGCTGGTAAGGGCTCCCTGCTCCCACCTGCGCAGGGGGAGGCCTGGCCAGGGCTGGGGAAGGCCTGGGCGCTCACCCTGGCTCTTCCTCTGTGTTCCTTCATCCCCTAAAGCAGACTGGCTCAGCTCTCCGGTCTCGGCTTCCTCGTCTGTCTATTAACCTCTGCTTTGGCCTGCTCACAGGCTCGTGGTGAAGGTCAAATAGGATAATGTTGTGCACACGCTTTGGAAACTACAAAGCGCCACTCAGATATAAGGAACCACCCGGTCCCACCCACATCACTCTTGACTCCCGACGCGGCAGGCTTCCCTCCCATCTCTTCCCACCGTCCCCGCGGCCAACGCAGACGTGCTGTGGTTTATACTGGGCTGCCGTCTATATCTAGCCTTGCTCCAGCTGTACCCTACCCCGAGCATGCTCTTCTTCCCTTTTTCGAGGGCATGTGCGGAGGGCAGGGCTCCTCTGGCATCCCACCCCCTCATCACGAGGCGTTGCAGCGAGCTGGAAAGGACCTCAAGAGGTAATCAATGTGACTGGGGCCTGGAGGCAGAAGGTGCGTGTGGCCGAGCTCCAGGGAATGGGTCCATAATCATCTCTTGACAGAGAAGCCCAACTTCAAAGCCTAGCAATTTTAGATTATATTTGCATTGGAGGCTTTTAAAATAACGAAACTTTAGATTTATGTTTATGTGAACAGATGTGGAAGGGAAATCAATTTCTCACAGGATTGGCTTATTTGTTTTTATCGCAGCGCTAAATATTAGGCACCGAGTGACAAATTAATACATAAATCGGCGTGGGGATGCAGCACGCACGGCCCGAGCAGGGAAGGAGTGGGGAGCCGCGGGTCCCTCCATGTGGCAGGTGGCAGGTGTCCACACGCCTGTCAGCCGCGCTGCAGCTCCCCGCAGAGGTGCTGGCGGTGAAGGCAGTGCTGGTGGACAGCTCTGAGCGGGCCCAGCCTGCTCCACGCGAGAGGAAACCCACTCACACAGGTTTTGGGGACACGGAGCACAGGAGGCGGGATCCCAGCTTTTCTGGGACTGCAGGACAGACGTCGGGAGAAAGGGCCAGCGGCACCCTGGCCCCTTTTTACCGTGCCCTCTTCTGGG